ATATATTTTTTAAATTTTTGGTTTTTTTAGTGCTAAAAGAAAATTCGAATTAGCATAATACTTATAAAAATATTTAACTATATATGATTGTTTCGTAGTAGTGGTGGCTAAGTCGGCCTGGCCTGGCTCGGGACCGTCGGAGGACCTGTTATGGGACCGAAAATCGGGACCGGTTGGGGGTTTTGGCAATTTCATGAAACCGGGACCGGTTATGGACCGGCCCGGCCCAAAAACTCAAATAATTTTATAGATAAATGTATTTTTAAATAATTTTGTAATGTATTTTTTTTAAGACAACGTAATTTTAATTATATTAAAACGTATTTTTAAAATGTATTTGAGTGACCCAATTACAAATTATATAATGTATTAAAAATATATATTATTAAAAAATATTTTTTTAATGCGGGGATCGATTGGGACCGGGACCGGCGGCCCATAACTGGTTATGAATAATCTTAACCGGTCTTACCATTCTCGACCGGGACCGGTTACGAGAAAGCTTGGGACCGATTAGGACCGGCCTGGTCCAGGACCGGTTTTTGACCATCACTATTTGGTAGTGTCTTAATAATATAAAAAATGATTTATTCAGTAAGCTTTTAGAAAGAACTTTACGTAGAAACCTAATTTTTTTTCAAACTTGTTCCTCCCAATCAAAAAACACTTTTTCTCCATCTATAGAAACAACTTTATAAAACAATTTTTTTTTTTCTCTATCAATACAAACAGATTAATCCATACAGACAATTCATTCAGAAGTTAAAAGAAACCAAACAACCTCTAAGTTACCTAAAAGTAGTGATGGTCAAAATCCGGTCCCGAGCCAGAACAGTGATGCTAATAACCAGTCCTGGTCATCAACTCAAGCCCGTTTAACTTGATCCATAACCGGTTACGTGTAACCAGTCCTGGTCCCAGCCGGTCCCTACGCAAAATAAAATATATTTTTTTTAGTTTTTTAATGATAGATTTTTTGAATACATTATAGAATTTGTAATTGGGCCGGTCCCACAAATCCGTTCAAAAGCATAACAATCCCGATTGGCAGTCCCTCAACCGGTCATTTGCCGGTCCCAGTTCCGATTCTCCGACGGTCCCGGACCCGGATCGGGCCGGTTTGGCCATCACTACCTAAAAGTATATTTTGGTTTTTCAACAATTTAAA